GGCTGCTTGTAGCAGCGTGAGCTGGGCCTCTTCAGTTTGTCTCTGCTTTTTCCTTTGGGTGGAGGTCTGCTCTGCTGTGAGTTGATCCCAGGCGTGTCTGGTGTGTCTGAGGAGCTCATTCAGCCGGACACCAGTTTTCCAACCAATGTAGGTGGATTGAACAGCTTTGCGGATTGGTGGGAGAAGTTCAATCATCAGATTGGCAGAAAATAATCTCAAAAGACGCTGCTTGAGGGGCTTCTCGCCAGTCATCATTATCGATGGGAATACCAGAGTGGGTTCTGAAGATGGACAGCAGTCTGTTAGCATAGTCTTGTGGGGCTTCATCTGGTCTCTGAACAGTGTATGTGATGGTGGTGAAGTTTGGGGTCTGAGGATACAGTGATGCGTTCTGTGACCCTTTCCACTTGTTTGAAATAACTTTGGTTGTCATCATGGTCAGCGTGGACATGGAGGATACGTTGTCCGTCGTTCACATCGAATAGTTGAGCCCCGATGGTGCTGATGAACCCAATCCCGTACACAGAAGCCAGTATCATTTTGAGCTCAGCCAGTGTGGGTCGGACCACTTCTATCATGTTTATCATGGCAGCAGCTACAGCAGCTCCTCTTTGTGCCAGGTCAGGCAAGTGCTGGCTCGCCATCTCGATCACGGCCGCCTTGGGCCAGGCTCGGTACACCAGTTGAGGGCCGTCTGGTCCCCCAACCTTCAGCATTGGGTTGGTGAGCAGGTCTTCGGGATCGTCCTCTCCATCTGCAGCTTGGGGAAGGTCAGATAATGATGATCTGCGGTTTTATTTTATTTTTTTTCTTTAGGCTTTGCTGTTTAACGTCGTCAATTTTCTTTTGTATAGCCTCAGCTTTTTCTTCAAGGGCCTTAATTTTTCCCATTTTTCTTGTGATGACTTTATTACTGGTTCCAGCGACAGGACCTTTAGTATCAGCTGGTGTCTTCAGCGAGGACACTGGTGGGGTTTCATCATCTTCTTCCTCTGAATCAGATGCTGGTGCATATCCTTGAAAATCATCATCAGAGTCGAGGGCCCAAGTGGGTTTTGATGGTGGGAGCAGCTGAGCTTGACCTTTAATGGGTAGTTTTTGTGATTTTTCCTTCTTCCTTTTTTCTGATACAGGTAGGGCGTAAGGTGGTGGGTTGGCGAGACCAGCCAGAGAGGGGTACAGCTGTGCCGTGGGAGACAGAGGTCCACAGGACTCCAGTGTATGTGGAGAGAGAGGAGAAGAAGAGAAAGACACATTTAATTTGTCCTTAAGCAATTTCTTTTTCTTTTCTGCCTGCGTTGTCTCGTTTTTTTAGAGCCAATTTGGTTGCCTTTTCAACTTTTTGAGTCATTTCGTACATTTTAGATGCTGTTTTTTGTGTTAGGGATTTGGGCTGGTTTTTCTATAATTTAAACGCTTGCTCATGGTTATACTTGGCTAAAAACATATCCTGTGGTATTTTCTTCATATCACACATTTTTAGTTTTTGTCTTAACAATTGTTCTTCCAATTTTTGAATTTCTTCGGGGTCGAAGGAACCATTTTTTGGAAAATTAAATTTAGAATGCCACTGTGAAATAAAACTGAGACATGAATCTCCATGTAATCTACGCATACTGGACCACAAGGAATATAATCCTCTTCTTTGCTTTTCCATGCACCCATTTTTGTTTAATTTTCCTGGTGCTTCCTTGTTTAATTATCCACTATTTATTTCTCAGTCCCTTATCGGGACCTACCTCGATTTGTTTCTACAAATCTAACTCGGTTTTATTTTTAAAACCTACTTTTGTTCTATTCATTTCTCAGTCCCTTATTGGGACCTACCTCAATTTGTTTATACAAATCTACCTCGGTTTTATTTTTAAAACCTACTTTTGTTCATTAATTATTCACTATTTATTTCTCAGTCCCTTATCGGGACCTACCTCGATTTGTTTATACAAATCTACCTCGGTTTTATTTTTAAAACCTACTTCGTTATACACGAATTTATTTCTCAGTCTTTATCGGGACCTACCTCGATTTGTTTATACAAATCTACCTCGGTTTTATTTTTAAAACCTTCTTTTGTTCTATTTATTTCTCAGTCCCTTATCGGGACCTACCTCAATTTGTTTATACAAATCTACCTCGGTTTTATTTTTAAAACCTACTAACAGACCACAGTTAGTGAGGATCCACAACCTCTCCTCCTCCACCATAACCCTCAGCACTGGCTCTCCTCAGGGATGTGTGTTGAGCCCCCTTCTGTTTACTCTGCTCACATATGATTGTGCAGCTACCCATCCAGGCTGTCACATTGTAAAGTTTGCAGATGATACAGCGGTGGTGGGATGCATCACAAACAATGATGAGTCCAGCTACAGGCAAGAGGTGGAACACCTGGAGAGCTGGTGCAGAAAGAATAGCCTTCACATCAATGTGAAGAAGACAAAGGAGATGATTGTGGACCTCAGAAGGAACAAAAACATCTACACCCCCCTGAACATAAAAGGATCTGCAGTGGAAGTGGTCTCCAGCTACAAGTACTTGGGTGTACACATGAATGACAACCTCAGCTGGAGCAACAACACCACCAGCCTGATCAAGAAAGCTCATCAGAGACTCTACTTCCTCAGACGGCTGAGGCGAGCTGGTCTGGGAAGCTCAGTCCTCACCTCCTTCTACAGGTGTGCAGTGGAGAGCATCCTGTGCTCCAGCATCAACGTGTGGCATGGAGGCTGTACAGCTGCAGAAAGAAAAGCTTTGCAGAGAGTGGTGAAGGCTGCACAGAAATCTGTTGGAATCAGTCTTCCCACCATCACAGACATCTACACCTCCAGATGCAGGAAGAGGGCCACCTGCATCATGAAGGACCCCACCCACCCAGCACACACACTTTTTGCCCCACTCCCCTCAGGAAGGAGGTTAAGGAGCATTAAGTGTAGAACCACTAGACTGAGGAACAGCTTCTACCCTGAGGCTGTTAGACTCATGAATCTCTAACTAGAATAATCACTGTGAAAAACCATATCATGTTGCTGCTGATCTGTTTCATGTTGCTGCTGATCTGTTTCAATGTTGATGTGTTCATGCGTGCACATCTGCTCACAGACTCATGTTCATGTTTGTGCTGATGTTCAATGTTTTATGTTATGAGTGCTTAGTGTATATTTAGTTGATGTTTTTCTTAGTTCATATCTTAGATGTTATTACTGTTTTTCTTAGACATTTTATTGTTGGATGTAACTGGGACCCTGTGTACATAATTTCGCTCCACCACATGTACCACATGAGGTGCGAATGACAATAAAGAAACTGACTCTGACTCTGACTTTTGTTCATTAATTATTCACTATTTATTTCTCAGTCCCTTATCGGGACCTACCTCGATTTGTTTGTACAAATCTACCTCGGTTTTATTTTCTAAAACCTACTTTGTTTTTAACTATATTAAAAAGTTTTTCAGTTTACCTTAAGTAGTTGTTTTTGTTGTCTCAGTCTGGTTCGGATTCTGTCCAGGTTGAATCCTCTCGATGGAAAAACATGAACGTCCCCTCGCTCTCAAAGACTAGCAGAGGTTTAGAGGAAGAATCCAACGATTCCTGGTGATCAGCACCATCCTGGGTCCACCGAGTGGATGGACCGGTGAAGAATCCAGTTCTTGACGCCAAATTGTGGAGTTTATTAAACTTATTGTTTAATAAATTTCAGATTGAGAACTTAACAAATAAAAAGCGAAGTTTTATTGGTTTCTTCTGCAGAAGGAGAAAACACATGAACAAGCACGCAGCCCAAGAGTTCTGTGTATTCTGAAAAAACATGAGCAATACGGCTTCATTTATACACACCTTCACACGTAACAGAACTTGTTTTTTTCACTTGCTTTGACACAACAGGCGTTAACCTCATTTGCAATCTTATCAGGGTAAAAACAGACAGTACGTTTGTGGTCATTGTCAATCTTATCAGGGTAAAAACAGACAATACGTTTGTGGTCAGTGTGACTGGTTCTGTAACTGGGTTTCGTACTGACAGGCCTGTGGGACTCAGAAAAAAGAGGTTTCACACACTGATGTTGGAGGAGTGCAACTGCTGCAGTCCAGATAAGCTTAACAGAGTGTAGCGATATAAAGTAAATGAAAAATAAAAGTGATAATAAAATTGATGAACAAAATAAACTGGTATCAATGTTTTCATTTCCACAGTCTTGAGCCGGAAAAGGGTAGAGTGCCCTCTCCGGGTACCCTCATCTGTGGTCATGAGCTTTGGGTTGTGACCAAAAGAACGAGATCACAGATAAAAGCGTCCGAAATTTGTTTTCTCCGCAGGGTGTGTGGGCTTTCCCTTAAAGATAGGGTGAGAAGCGCCGTCATCCAGGAAGGACTCATGGTAGAGCCACTGCTTCTCCACATCGAGAGGAGCCAGTTGAGTTGTCTCGGGCATCTAGTTATGATGCCTCCTGGACGTCTCCCTTGTGAGGTGTTCTGGGCACGTCCCACCGGGAGGAGACCCAGAAGAAGACCCAGGACATGCTGGAGGGACTATGTTTCTCGGCTGGCCTGGGAACGCCTTGGGATTCCCCTGTAGGAGCTGGCCCAAGAGGCTGGGGAGAGGGAAGTCTGAGCCTCCCTACTTAGGCTGCTACCCCCACGACTCGACGCCAGATAAGCGGAAGAAAATGGATGGATGGATGGATTTTATTATTTGATGTAACTGGGACCCTGAGTACATAATTTCGTTCCACCACATGTACCACACAGAATGCGAATGACAAATAAAGAACCTTGAATCCTTGAATCTGTAGACTGGCAATTACAGTAGGTTGTCTCAGACAAATGGAAACTGCTTATGTTACCTAGACCTGATTAATTTGAATCTGTTCTGAAAAGCTGTTCTAATGTTTCAAAAGACCCAAGAAATCAGACAAGAAAAGAGCTAAAAACATACCTACATTTGTAAAGAAATGCTCTATCTAATCCTTAACAATATTTTTAAGCTGTATTTTGTATTTTCAGTCATGAGCTGGATGTGGAGGAGTGTCCACAGCTCGCATCCGAATCAGTCTGGTCTAAACTGGGACTCAAGCACAACCTGCACCCACGGTAAGTCTTGTCCTTTTTGTTTCATTGATTATTTTTGTGTCTGGGATTCTCTTTGCCTCTTTTGTCATTGAAATATGTCACAACAATAATTGATTGATAAATTAATGAATAGGCCTGTTGCGATAAACATATCAGTTAATTGCATGATAAATGAAAATTATCTACCTCATTTTCATTTCTCAGCTTTATCGTTTCTTCATCTCTCTCTTTGTACCGAAGACACTGGATGACAAAAGGCTAAATTCCGGTTCTCTTTACTGACCCCGTCCTTTCTCTTTTCTCTTTAAAATCCATTTTAACCATCAACAATTGCTTTTTTGGATCGTTAAAAGCAGCTAAGCTGAGAAACTAAGCTATGAGCTAATCTAACGCGCCGAGCTCGCGGAAAAAACCTCCGTCTTGTTGAAGCTCCAAAATTCACGGTTGAAACTCGTGTCTTTGTGTAAAAAGGTTTTCTCTGCAAAAAGATGCTGAGAACTTGTTTACTGATTTGTTTATTAAAAGCTTTTGTGAAAAATACTATGCTGAAGAGCTCAAATCACACCAAGCATCCACCATTTTGAGAACCGAAGAAAGACAGCCCATGTCATGTCAAGCGGCCTCTCTCCCATTTTATCTTGAAAGAGACACGCTGCTCACTCCCTCATTATCCATCCTTCGGTTTAAACAGTCTTATATTGCCATCCGGTGGTCGATAAAAGGTACTACATGCAAAATAAATTAACAAACATTTCTTCTTAAATTTTACAATAATTACTAATTATTGTCAAAATTCAAACAATATTATCGTTTATCTCAATAATTTCTGAGACAATCACCCAGCACAATTTGTTATCGTGGCAGGCCTATTACTGAAAGGCCTAGCGTTGATTGAAGAATGCATGGCTGAGAAATGAGAGTTGTAACCATTTTGGTCCAACCTAATTTGATGTTATTTGTAATCTGCAACAGTTGAGGGGTCAGTAACATGGTAACGCAACAAAATATATTAAAATGGGTGTTTTGTCTTCTTAGACATGACCTCAATGTCAAACAGCAAGAAAAGAACCTTTACAGACACCTTCTGCCAGTATCAGAAGTTATTAAAATCTGTTGCTCATTGTTACAAAGCCAAGAATGAATGTGTCAGTTGTATTTTATTCTGGAAACCAGCTCTTGTGGGTTGACCAGCAACATACTACATCAACAGGCAGATTAAAGAGGGTGTTTAAAGATGGGGTCATGTCAGAGGTAAAGCATGTTCATGGGGAACTTAAGGGGCTGTTTACTTATTTTGAGCAACAGAAACGGCTCAACAGCACCACCTGGAAATTTTCAAAATGCCCTTCGCCTTGACCTTACTTTGTCGTAGAAGCATGAAAATTGGTACACTTGTCCAACTCCCCAAGATGCACAGAAAATCCTCTGGCACCATTGCAGTACAATAACCAGGAAGTCAGCCATTTTGCACTGAGGTTCCAAATTTCACACCATTTTGGAGGTTAACAGCCTCCGCATTTGATTGAACTCCTCCTAGGGATTTTGCTCAATCGGTTTTAAACTTGGCCATTTTGTTCATAAGACATGGGAAATGAAAATTTATCACAACGATGAGTTTTTGATCATGCTGAAGAGGCGGGGCCAGACCTCAAAGTTTAGCATCTCAACATGAAAAACGAAATGCTAGTAGCTCCCACACGAAAACTGTCCGAGTCATCAAACCTTGAGTGATTGATCCACATTTGGTCCCCTGCAAGACTGAACGGTCAAATCATGATTTCACTTAAGCCACACCCTCTGAGAACAGGAAATGTAAAGTTTTACGTTGAAAGGTTCCTATTTAATCCCTGTGATCTAATCAACATGATGGTGTGTCCAGTGACCGAAGACATGTTGGTGTAGCTTGCTTTCCAACACTGACAATTTTTGATATAGGATGTGGGCATCGCGGCATGGCAAAGTAAGACGTAACGCTGTCGCCATACGTTTGGCTCTAAATTCCACAGATTTGAGCCGAGGTGCACCAAAATCAGTTTGATCGATCATTATCCACTCCTTGAACAGGAATCCATGCTGTGGCCAATAGCCTCCACAGTGCCCCCTAGAATATTTTAAACCTTCAGCTCCAAGCCATTTTTTGACAAATAATTCTGAAACTCTTTGTACATTTGTATCTTCTCAGGACCTATGTAAAAGGCTCTTGAAGCCCTGGTTCAAAACCAATAGGAAGTCAGCCATTTTGGGTCAAAGGGTCCTTTTTGGGCGTTTTTCAATTTTCATACATGACTAATTTTAATAAACTCTTCCTAGGGATTTTGAGTGATTGGCTTCAAACTCAGGGCTTAAAGCTGCCCATCATGCCATACCATACCATACCTTACCACTTTATTTATAAAGCACTTAAAACAGCAACAAGGCCAACCTAAGTGCTGTACAGACAAAACAACAGGTAACACACAAAGCAAAATGCAATGAATTCCAAACACTATAACTTTCACATAGAAAGACAAAATTGCACCAAACGTGGCATGAGTCATCTCTGTTGGATGCCAGACTATCTCTTATTATGATGTCATCAAAGCCACGCCCCCTCAGAACAGGAAGTCACTTTTTTACTTGGAACACCATCTCTGACCCCCTTGACCTAATTAGGATGATCCTGTGTTAGAAGACAAATAAAAAGTTGGTATGGCTTGCTTTAAAGCACAAAAAGTTTTTGCTGGAGGGTGTGGCCATGGCGGGATGGCAAAGTCAGACCTCACGCAGTTGCCAAACGTTAGCCTCTAATTTCTACATATTTCAGCCGAGCTGCACCAAGCTAAATGGTAAATGGACTGTACTTATATAGCGCCTTTCTATCTAAGCAAGATACTCAAGGCGCTTTACACTACAATCTGTGCCCTCAGCACTCTACTAGATCTCTACAAAGCTAATTGAACAAATCATTCTAAAGAGACTAATCAGAGCTTTAGATCACATTCATACACCGATAGGATACACATCGGAGGCGATGAGGGGTTCAGTGTCTTGCCCATGGACACTTTGGCATGTGACTGCTGGTGGATTCGAACCCCCAACTCTCGCATTGGAGGATGACTGCTCTAACCACTCAGCTACAGCTGCCCCTCAGCTCAGTATGTTCAATAAGTATCCACTCCCCAACAGGAATGCAGTCCCAAGATTTTATAGGCGTGGCATAATACCTCCACAGCACCCCCTTGAATATTTTAAAACCTCAGCCCCAAGCCATTTTTGGACCAATAAGTATGAAATTTGGTAAAAATGTACAACTTTTTTTTCCCCCCCGACGCCCCGCAAGCAGGCAGCCCAGCCCGTCTCAGCACTTTGCCAACAATGGACCTGATTTTTTTTTTTTGAAAACGTTGTTTTTATTTTCTTTTTTTATGGTTTCTATTTTTGGAGAATGCGTGAGCGACCATGCTCCTATTGTTTACTCTCGGGACCAGCTGCTTTCGATCCGCAGCTCTGCTGTGCCTCCTCCTGCAGAGAACCTGATGTCACCCGCAAGCTGAGAAGGAAGAGACATGGGAGATGTGCAGGCATAGGGCGTCGCAGCCAGGGCAGAAGGTACAGACCTGTCCTCCCGTCCATCATTATGGGAAACTTGAGATCTCTTCACAACAAAGTGGATGAGCTGGCTGCTCTAACACGACATCAAAGGATCTACCGGGAGATCAACCTCATCTGCCTGACGGAGACATGGCTGACTGAGTTAACCCCGGACTCACATATTAACATGGACGGCTTTCATTTACTTCATGCGGACAGAACCAGAGAGAGTTGTAAGAAAAGAGGAGGGGGTGTGGCTGTGTTTGTGAATGATAGATGGTGTAACGCTGGACATTTAACCATCAAACAGACGCTCTGCAATAAGGACATTGAACTTCTAGCAGTTGATATGAGACCACACTATCTTCTGCTAGAGTTCTCACACGTTTTTGTGATAACAGTGTATGTCCCGCCCTCTGCTAATGCTGATGCAGCCTGTGATGTTCTTCACACCACCACCAGCAGACTCCAAACACAGCACCCACAGGCCCTCTTTCTGATCTCTGGGGATTTTAATCATGTTTCCCTGTCCTCCACTCTCCCTTCCTTCACCTAGTATGTCACCTGCCACACCAGAAATACCAACACACTGGTTCTACTTTTTGCCAATACCAAGGAGGCATACAGTTCATCACCTCTGCCTCCCCTGGGGGGCTCAGATCACAATTTGGTTCATCTGCAGCCTATGTATAAACCCCTGGTGCACAGAGAACCAGCTGTGATGAGCACAGTGAAGCAATGGACTGAGGAGACTGAAGAAGCTCTGACGGACTGTTTCAGCTCCACTGTGTGGGAAGAGCTCTGTGCTCCTCATGGTGAGGACATTGACAGCATCAAGGACTGCATCACTGACTACATCAATTTCTGTGTGGACAACACTGTGTCCATCAGGACAGTACGGCGTTTCTCCAACAACAAACACTGGATTAACCCTGAAATAAAGGTTCTCCTGAAGGAGAAGAAGAGAGCCTTTAGATCTAGTAACAAGGAGGACCTGAGAGCTGTGCAAAAAGAACTAAGAAGGAAGATTAGGGATGGAAAAAACATCTACAGGAAAAAGATGGAGGATCAGCTGAAGCAGAGCAACATCAGTGGGGTGTGTAGGAGCCTTAAAAACATATCAGGCCATAAATCAAGCCCCCAGGCTGTAGGAGACAAAGGGTGGGTGAATGACTTGAACCAGTTCTTTAACAGATTTGATCCGTCACCCACCCCCACCCCTACTCCAGCCCTGTCCCCCCTGCTGTCAGCCCCATCACCTTTAATGACTGCCAACTTCTCTTGTCAGGAATTCACACCTCTCAGCTCTCAGCCATTAGCCTCCCCCTTCATTCCAGGAAACTTCATCTCACAGCACCCTTCCCCCACCTCCATCTTGTCCCTCTCAACTCTTCAGGTGAGGAATGAGCTGCGAAAGATCAATGTGCGTAAAGCTGCAGGTCCAGATGGAA